GCGGACCGCGAGATTGTGACCTGAGCTGAAGTCGGACGCTTAACCGACTGAGCCACCCAGGCGCCCCTTTACTTTTATTTTTTATACGTAGTTGTATGTTGTTTCCTTTTATAAGGAGCTATTTCTGTGCACTCTTTGGTCTCTTCTCAATATGATGGCCTGGAAATTTTCACAGATACGTACATGAGGAATACAGGATTCTTAGAGTTAATGACTAAGAAGAATGTAGCTTAGGATGAGGTGCAGTAGAGTGGTGAGAACCTGCCAACCAGGGACCTGGGTTGTCATCGTACAGTTTCTGTTCATCAGTTGTGTGACATTGAGCAAGCATCTTGACTTCACCAAGACTCAGTGTCCTCATGGATGAAATGAGGCCAATAATACTATTGCCTTTGTTGTTGTGAGAATGAGTGAGTAATCTTATCAACAATGTATGCATGTTTTGTGCCAACCACTGGTACTTTAGAGAACACTACAGAGGTGTGGTAACGCAGTCTTTACCCTCATAATCTGTTTTACATATGTAAAACCATCAGAGAACAGTAAAATCTTGCATCGACTCCAGTATTACTTTAGTCATGGTGCATATAGAACATGCAGTAGTTGATGAAGAGGCAGATGTCTGTTTTCTTCGGTAGGTGGGAAAGGCATTTCAAAGTCAGTAGGTCCCAAATCAAATTCATGATCTTTCCCTCTAAAGCTACATCTCCTCAGGCGTTCCCATCTCCTGCTGTGCAGCTGTTGGGACCTGCAGACGTAGGAAACATCCTTACCACCTCCCTTTCTCTGACCCCCATCTCCAGGCCATCCTCAATAGCCCATCTCCATTCTTGCATAGCATCCTAATTAGTTCTCTATGCAGCTAGTATTTTGCTCCAACAATATAATCAAATCTTTTCCTTTCCATGGATTCCCTTTGTAATCAGGATAAAATACAATCTTCGCAGTGTGGAAGAAATTCAGTTGTTTTGTACTTGGGATAAAATCCAGTTCTTTAACATCGCCTGCAAATCTCTGCTTGATTTAGACTATCTGGCTCACCTCCCTAAACCCACCTAGCACCCTTTGTCCACTAGACACCCATACTCTACACATTGACTTTTCCTTTGTTCTTCTAAGGTATTATGTTTCTTTTTGCCTCAGGGCTTTTGCATATACTTTTTCCTTTAGCTCTGAAGCTTCTCAGCTTTCAGATCTTAGATTTTTCTCAGTAACACCTGTTTGACCACCGCCTACCCCCACCCCCCACCCCGCCCACAAGAGGTCACACCCTGCTGAGAATCTGTTCTTCAAGCACCCATATAAAAATCATTCAGTTTATAGGTACGTATATGTGCAAGATTATTTTGTCTTCAACCCTACAGTGACTTGCCTTCTCCGACTGAAAATCAGAGTCCTTTCCATGGCATTGAACAGCCTACGTGATCTGCCCTCTCTTCATCTCCAGCCCCCATCTCTTAAGCTTCCTCCCTTCCCTCACCCTGTTTCACCCATATAGGCCTCCTTGCTGGTCCTCACACATAGAGACATACCAAACAGACTCCTGTCCCAGGACCTTTGTACTTGCTCTTCCCTCTGTTGGGATGTTCTTTTGCCAGCTGTAAGATGTCTTGCTTTCTCACCTTTTTTAGATTAAATATCACTTTGGTGAGGCCTTCCTAAACCACCCTATTTAAAATCTACATACCCTCATTGTAACGTTGCCCCCTTTCCAGGTTTTGCTTTTCTCCATGACACTTATCAGCATCTGACATACCATAAAAATTACTTGTTTATTTATTATCACTCTTTGCTCACTCCAATGTCCACTCTATGAAGATTGAGATTTTTATCTTTTTTGTTCATTGTATCCCTAGCAGTTGTTGGCATCCAGGAGGCATTTTATAAATATCAGTTGAATGAATAAATGAGTGAGTGACTTGGAATATTTTTCTCTTCCTATTTTTAGCTTATGAGGGCACAAGAAGTTTCATTTATTTTCCATTTGCTCTCAGCCCTTGGCACATTGTAGATATACAATAAATGTTGGTTAAATAGGTAAATGAATGGTGATGGGCTTCGAAGGAAAGGTAGGGTATGAATTCAGTCTAACCTAAAGAAAAACAGTGATTTAGGGGCACCTGGGTGGCGCAGTCGGTTAAGCGTCCGACTTCAGCCAGGTCACGATCTCGCGGTCCGGGAGTTCGAGCCCCGCGTCAGGCTCTGGGCTGATGGCTCGGAGCCTGGAGCCTGTTTCCGATTCTGTGTCTCCCTCTCTCTCTGCCCCTCCCCCGTTCATGCTCTGTCTCTCTCTGTCCCAAAAATAAATAAATGTTGAAAAAAAAAAAAAATTTAAAAAAAAAAAAAGAAAAACAGTGATTTAATAGGCATGGCTATCCTCTGTGGGTGGTAGACAGAAACATGGAAACTTTGCTTCCATTGGTATTTCATGTATGGATCCCTCCCATTCCCCTGTAGGTGAATTGGGGACAGAGCTGTGTGAGTGAGAAAATCACTTTTTGGTGATCACTTTTCTTCAGTGATGAAATCCATTTGTTTCCTTGTTGTTCATTAAACTGGAGCCCAAACCTTGTATAAATATGGATGTTTAGAAAAACTAGCATAAAGATGGGGGCAATTATTGACCTGTAGGGTTTGTATTTCTTAACAGAAAATGCTGTCCTGTATCAGAACTACAAAGAAAAGGCTCTTGACATTGACTCTGATGAAGAGTCGGAGCCCAAAGAACAGAAGTCAGATGAAAAAATTGTGATTCACCACAAGCCACTGAGATCCACATGGAGCCAGCTTTCTGCGGTGAGTGTTTACCTTTTTCTTTCCGATCTGTGGGCATGAAAAAACCAAGCTGTGGAAATTAGGTCTGGATGTGGTTTTAACTTTTTCTGCCAATGATCTTGTAACCCAGAAGAGAAAGACTCCTCTTCTTTTTAGATTGTGAAATGGGTCTTGAAAGTCTTCAGGCACTGGTGAGAACATGGACTTTAACGCTTCTGATTGGGAAAATCAGGTTTTGATAAAATAAGGTGACTTGACACTAATATACTATGCTCTGGAAGCTTTTCCTGCTCAGTATCTTTTCTTGTTTTTAATTTTTTTAAATTTTTATTTATTTTTTATTTTTTATGTAGTATATATGTAGAGGTAACTTAATCTATCCTGAACTTTATCGTAATTATGGCTGTATATACAGTTACGTGTATGTGTATCTATGCACAATAGGGAGTTTATGACAGTTTTTCCTTGGACATTTCATTTGATATAGACACAATTATATGTTCTTGCAGTTGATTAATGAATGGCATTCTGTTCCATATCCCTCTGTGCATCTTTTGTGTGAGCCTGTCTGATACTTATTTTGTGTCGATGAGTAATTTTTCCTCTCTGCATCAAACATCTTTGTTTATAGCCATAATTTCTCTTCTTCCTGGTTTAACAAATGTCACAGTGTGCAGCTTAGTTTACTTGATAGGAGTTTGGGCACAGCATCTGTGGGCATCTGATGCATTACCAAGTAGAAAGGAATTCCCATGGCTGGCTTGGGTGGTGGGAGCATTGCATCAAAAAACAAGCCAGTACACCTCTGTGAGTCCCTTAGGCAATGTGGGAGCAGAAGCGATTCCCTCTTAAGCTGAAATGAGCATTGTTCAGCGTCAAGAATATCATATATTTAGGGATTGCACCAGTATAAGAAAAGGAGTTGTATATGTTGGAGCTCATAAACAGGGATATGGGAATGGATGTATGGTGATAACGAGAATGACTTCTGGTCAGGTTCTTCCTCCTCTCTTCTACTCTCTGTTGGAATTCAGAATTCTAGAAAACTAGCCCTTTCCCCCTGTCTCCCTCCCAGCCCCTAATTCTGTTCTAAGGAGAATTTATTCATTTCCAGTGCCTCCAAGCTGTGGCTCCCTTAGTATTATTCCACAGATTAAAATGTCCTGAATTAAAATTAAATTAAAATTCCCTCAGATTAAAAGGGCAGGTGGTGTTACAACTGATGCTGGTGAGTGTGGAGGATGAGGCCTGGTGGGGACTGTGGTGAACAGGCCTGATGGAACCTGAGCAGCGGCCACTTAGGTCACGCCAGCCCTGTGTTGCCAGACCTTCTGACATTTAGAAAAGAGAAAGCTGAAATCTGGATTTTTTTTTTTTTTATGAGTATTATCCTAATTCAATTTTAGAAATTTTAGAAAAATGATGTGTGAGGCCAACAAAGGATTTATGGGCCAGTCTTGTCTCCTGTGCTAACAACTTTGGAACTTTTGTGATGTTTCTGTGATTTTCGCTTGTGGTCAGGTGGTCACACCCATCCACAGAACCAGCATGTTGGCAGCCTTACACCCTCATCTAATGATCTCGTGATAGTAAATCCCTGAGCACATATGTGGAGAAACTGGTGACAGGCCCTTAGAGGCCATGCTAACTCTAAATGGCTGTCATTCCACTGTTGGTGTGGGCCATTTGGTTGAGGATCCTCAAAAAGAAAGCTGTGGATTTTTTGAGTTCTTCCTCTGTGGTGGCGGCAGCTGCATTTGTTAGCACGGGCCTAAATCTTGCTGTTCTTCTCTGCACGCTAAACAGAAATGTGTGTTTCCGTGTCACTCACACTCTGATCCAACCTAGATTTAGTGCTGAAGAGCAAGCTGCTGTACTTCCGCCCCCTGAAATTTGGCTTTCATCTAGATTAACAAATGCATATTAAAATAATACTCCAGGACCTACTCCGTACAGCTTCAAATATGGGCCTGCATTTCATTTGGCCAAAGATAAATTGATGTGCCTTTTGTTAACAAGACTGCAATCAAAAGACTCTCTGGTGATAAAATGTAAAGCTATAAAGTGGCTTCTAACTTTGGTGTGTGTTATCTTGGATTTCGGTGTTTCCAGGATGCTTGTGTGTATTTATTGTGTTGCTTGGCAATCACATTTAATCAAAGCAGCATTGGACTTCGCCTCTTCCCATTCTTAGGCACCAGATTGCATTTCCTTTATGCTTTTTGTGTCTCCTTTTCACATTTAAAACATTTTACTTTAGTTTTCTACTATAAAGTACTTGAAACATGCGGAAAAACTTAAAAATAAGTATGTGTAATAGATTTCTGGGTACCTGCCACCCACATTGAACAAATGTTACCATTTTAACATCCAGATCTCCATTTCTTAAGGCAGATCCAGTTAACCACCCTCATATCCAGCACTTTGCTCCTTTCTGCCTTCCCAGAATAAGTACTGCCCTGAAGTTCTCTTCTGTCCTTCCCACGTGGGTTTTCTGTCCACTAAAGAGATGCAAGCAAGCAGCTCTGGCTTTTAGGAAAGTAGATATTTCAGCGGCAGAAAGTGGTCATTACTATTTTAAAAAGCCTAGCAGTTGGTATGTCCAAGTTGCAGTTAGGAGCCTAAAGAGAGGAAGCTTTGTGAGTTATGACCAATGTCAGGATGTTTCCATAAGGGATCAGCACCTCCATTTCTCCATTTGACCTCCTGCCCTAATCCTTCCTTGTAGCGGGGCCACAGTGTTTACGGTGGGTTTCAGAAAACATCTGCTCTTTCCATGCTTCCCTTTAATGTGCCAAATTAGTAGGGTAACCTGCATCTAATCTTGCAGGTATCACTTTACTTACAAAATTTTTTTTTAATGTTTATTATTTTTGAGCGAGAGAGAGAGCAAGGGAGGTGTAGAGAGAAAGGAGACACAGAATCCAAAGCAGGCTCCGAGCTCTGAACTGTTGGCACAGAGCCCGATGCAGGGCTCCAACTCATGGACCATGAGATCATGACCTGAGCCAAAGTCAGATGCATAACTGACTGAGCCACCCAGGTGCCCCTTGCATATATCACTTTAACACAAAACTCTTCTTTGAGTAAGGCCTTGATTCTAGAGAGTAGGACAAGGGGTTTTCTGGCAAAAGGTTAAGTCTCAGTTTGGCATCTATTGACTTTCTACTTGGGAGGGGTGTGTGTGAGCACACATGTGCATTGGCTGTTGTTGGTTGTTCTATTTTCTAAAAATCTCTTTGTCGCAAACACCTGCCTGCCTCCTGGGATGATGAAACCTTTCTTACCAGTTGGCCGTGAGAAGCATTCAGTATGCAAAAGGCTCTTCAGAAGTGCAGCAGTTTGCAGTAATTTATGGTTGTTACACAGCTCTTTAAGCCTTCAGTCCATAGTGTAGTGTCTTAGTGTGCTTGCTTTTGTGTCTCCTTTGGTTCTATTGGACAATCACACAGGTGACAAGTGTCCCCGTTTACATTGCTGGGGACAGGTTTAACTGTAGGGTTGTGATTATCTAGCAATGAGGGAGAATTAGAACTGTGTAAGAGACATTTAGTTGGGCCTCAATGGGATAGAGAGTCTAGCTGCCACGGACTTCTCCAGTCGGGTTAAGGTGAATTGATGGTGATGAACTCAGCATTGGTGGCTGTGCCAGCAGGTTCTCCATGTAGAGGTGGCTGTTGTCCTGTGGTCAGGAATACAACCTGGGCTCCTTAATTTCATAAGATGGTGACAGGCTTGCTCTTCATTCACTTGATTGTCAAAGTGGGCAGACCTCTCCGAGTAGGTAAAAGTAGGTAGAGATAGAATGTCTGCATTCCAGGGAATATAACTCTGTGCTTCTCTTCAGGCCTTCGAGAACACTAATATATGAGATACAATTTTCAATTATTATGGTTCCCAGTTTTGAAGTGCAAAGGGTTTGAGGTTTTGAGCCAGGGAAGTCATTTTTAACCTCTAGGCATCTGTGCCCAGAGACTAGGAACCTGCCCCATACGGGTATGTTGCTTGTGACTCACCTAAAATGGCAGCATGAGGACTAAGCCAACAGTTCTTGGATCCCTAGGAAAAGCTTGAGGTCTGAAGAGAAATACTGATGATATTATTAGTCTGGGATGGAACACTGAGTGCTTGTTACAGTTAGTGCCGGGTGTGTAGCCAGCTGAGTATTGGACGCAACGAGAGCTTCAGGATTTCCCTAAAGTTCATCCTTCACTGGGATCCTGGAAGCATTTACAATATTACCAAAAGCAAAAGATAGATGTTGACTGGAGTCTTTTTGTTTTTTATCACAAACACCCCTCCCTTCCCTGAGATCACACACTGTGCATGTACTAAAAAATGATGGTTGTGAAACCAGTGTTTGCTTTGTCAAGATCAGCGACAGCACCAAAGCCACCCTCGCCAGCCATGCCCTGACCCCATTTATTTGCCATGGGGTGTGTTTGTGTAATTTCCATCACCTTGACATGCCAGGTACCTTTGAAAAGGGCGTTCAGACTCCGCAGGCAAAAACAAGCACGCAGGCAGACTTTCTGCTGGAATTCAACACCTAATATAGTCATCCTCTTCTGCACTCTTCATTTGCACTTGCTGACATGGGGCTTTATCAGTAATCTTGAATCATTTTGAGTATCTCTTTAGGTTGTTCAGAAATGCTAAACTCTAGCGAGGAACTGATTTTTCTGTTTTCATCAGTGTTCAGCTGTGCGTAGTGTGGCCAACGGCGTAATGGGAGATCTGATGTCAGGACTTCAGTCTCTGAGCCCTGGCTCTGCTCTTAAGATGCACAGTTTGCCGCTGGACAGCTTTTGCGAACTGCCAAACGAGAAAGGACGATTTGAAAAATGGTGACTTTGACATACATGTAATTTCATTCAGTTGAATATATAACAGACACTTTGGAGACTTAGCAGTTTTATCTGATGGGACTTATTCTTTTAGAATTTATATTGTGTTCATGGTGAGAAGACGTACTATTTTCTACTAAAAACCAGAGCTCCACAGATGTGATAAACCTGAAT